AAAAAAAAAAAATTATAATATAAAATGCAATTGGAGAGCTAGCCGACTTGATCATTAAAAAGCCGAGGTAAAATTACGACTAACAGTCGATCATCAGCATGGGAAAAATGTTAATATAATGTAAGATAGAAAAAATGCTAATATCCCTGGCTGTCTTTCTTTATTCTCGAGGAGCGAAAATATCCATCAGAGCTCTGATAAGATAATGTGCGGTACCATATTCACCTGCTGGCGCCGAATCATAAAAGTGCTGACACATCCCTTGAGCACCGTCACAACGCTTCCCACTGCCGCAACACTCCATTACTATTGTTTCCATTTGTTTCTGCAAAGTAAGTAATATAGAAATCGGCCCAAAAACGTGCAAAAGTGAAGTGATTAAAATCAATGGCGAAGTCAAAAACTAGTCGAAGGGAGTACTTGAAGCGCATTTCGAAAAAAACAGCAGGAGAAGTACTTATTTCAGTCGCTCAATTCTTCAACGATACAAATCTATTAACAAAGTAACGATGATGCTTGATGCTTTGGCTAGCTGCAATTAACAGTCTGTTTTCTGACAATGCGCCTAATGCCATTCCCAGTCGCTTTGGCCAGTGCAAGATGATCTAGTGGAAAAGCTGACGTTTGTTTCGACTTCTTAAGTGAATACCAGTTCAACGATACCAGTGACAAAAGTACTTGGAAAGTTTTAAGCTGTCTTAGAATGTCATTGGTGCGAGTGAGCATCACCTCCTCTCCTTAAATACTCACACTTCTAGACCACGATGCCACCTTCAAATAATTGTAAGGAAAGGGTCAAAACCCTCCGCATGAAGGAAAAGACACTCGAGGAGCCGTCGACAGTCTTCCCTTTCAAGCACTGCTTAGAAGATGATGGTGGGCCTTACTCCATAGCTTATGCCAAAACTAATTCATCATCGAAACAGACAAATGAATCAAAGAAGGGCTGTTTGTCCCACTGACGAAGTCGAACATTCAACCTTCTACATGAAATGACAGAAGGCCTAATCCCAACTGCGCTATGTCACGAGCGACCAATAATTACAAAATACAAAAGATAAAAAGTGCAAAACACAGCTGATTTTTTTAAAAGGCAGTGATTCACAATACGTCTTCTAAAAAGCGGTGGCAATCATTGCTAATTATCAGAAGTGTCGAGAAACGAACATTATGATCAACAAAAAGCCTGTTAGCTCGATGCACAATTGAATCCACTTCGAACGGCCGATCACGAGGTATGTTTGGATTGTTACACTTCAGCAAACTGTCCATACGACCCATCAATGATAAGGCTTCGATAATAATCTCGCGATACTCAGGTTCAGCAACCTGTAAAATGCCGTGGAATTTAACAAAAAACAAGCATCAAAAATCTTTTCTTTTCAAGCTTTTTATAAGAAAACTTCCACACAACCATCTAAAAACGTTTTATACGAATTACGGATGATAAACTTACCGAAACTGTCAATACTTGTCTTCCCTGATAAAGTATCAAGCCATAAGGTGTAAAGTATCAAAGTGATTTTTCAATATGTGATAAAAATATCAAACCTGGTTTAGAACTTCCTCAACTTGCAATGCAAATTTAATTTCTCTGCGAGTCATCTGAAAGCAAAGTTGAAATTACAGGCAATTTCAAGTTTGACCTGCCAAATTTTTTTTCGGATAAGTTCATAACTCGGGAATCTGAGAAACTAGAAAGCTGAAATTTTAAGAGGATGTTCCCTGTTTAAGTGAGTATTTACGAGTTCAAACCCTGCTCACGGGTAAGCGTGGCACCTTTAATCAATAACTTCAGTTCCCTGCCTGTAAAGATTGTATGAGAGCGCACACTTGCGTCCCATCATTTCTATTTAATACGGTCTACTTGACAACAACAATAATAAAAATAGGAAAATTTCGTGGCAAACATTATACAATGAAAAAGTTAAGAAATATCCTTTGAAATAATGTGGTTTATCTTATCCACAGAAGCGAGCAATTTTACAACGTACAAACGAACCTCCTGCGTGACGCCCCAGTGAAGGACAATACGATTGATGGATAGGCCTCGTGGAAAACGTCGCACAGTGTCCCATACCAACTGCAAAATTAAGGATATTAAGTGGAATAGAATTCCCACAAATAACTATTTATTAGTTGCCTATGATAAAAATTGAACGAACCGCATAAAAATCAGGTGGGACTCGATTTAAGGCACCGTCAATGCGACGGTGCCTCAGCCAAATTCCAAACTGGAAATCTTCTGTTTCTTCGGCCTCTGCTTCTTCGGCATCAGCCGGAGCCAGCACATCAATATCGACTCCGCTCTGACGCATCGATTTTCGGATCGACTAAAGGAAGTGCTACTTGGTTTTCCATGGGAAAATCGTGGAAATTTGCGTCATAATATTAGTAAAATTGGCCAACGCACGGGCTGCCCGTGCGAAGATGCGTTTTTTGCAGAGTTCCCCGCAGTT